GTTTATACCATTGTTTGATGCAACTGCATGCCGTATTTTTATATGAAAATAAACAAGCTGAAAACACTCTAACTGAAAAACTTGTAGTGCTTTTCTATAGTATTAAGTCTCAAATGTCAACTATACATCGGATTGGTTTGTTCTTTAAATTATAAAAAAGTAAAAATATGAATTTTGTTTGAGTTTTTTCCTCTTTTTGTCACTTTCCTTCTCTTTTAAATAGCTTGTGAATGCGCCGTGCGCATTTTACTTTCACTTTCGAATTAGCGTCAATTACAATATACAACGCCAAACTCCCTTAGCCTATATATATGTGCTGTCAAAAGATTAATCGCGATCCAAAATAAAGGTTTTTGTTTACATTATATATGTGTGTGAACTGTACATTTATTATGTATTTATACACGCACATCCATGTATATATTTCAGAAAAAAAATTTGGAATTATCCATAAAATATTTATATATAATATAAATTATATATGAATATAAATATGTATATATTTGTAAATATTTTTTAAATATACATGTGTGTGTGTGTGTGTATTTATATATTTTTTTAAAAAAACAGTAAACACACACATATATTATGCAAACTTGCCACGGTCGGGTGGGCAAGTGACCGGTGTTGCTGCTTAACACCGGTATAACATGGTTAACACTGACTATCGCAGCAAGCCTGTTACACATTACATGTACTTACTTTAGAAATGTTTAGTAATTATATAATGCCACTAATCCTAAATGTTTATTCATATTACTCAGTACATGTATATTCACTCTTATAAGAAGGACACCTAAAAATGAAATGTGACCATATTTTTCATTGTTAGTTTATGTTTCATTTGTGTTTACAGTTGCCCTGATGATCATTTCCATGATATCGATCGTATACGGAGCTTTAGTTTGCAGTGTTCTGGCCATACAGATCAAGTATGATGACTACAAAGTGCGAATGAAACCTGCTGCCTACCTGTGCATGATCCTCTGGCGAGGGTTAGAGATCGCCACTCGGATCGCCACCTTGGTGCTCTTCAGCACAACACTCACGGTCTGGGTGGTCCTGGTGGGCCTGACCAACCTGTTCATCTTCTTCTTCCAGCCATGGGTTGAGTTCTGGGCCAGGAAGGCATCACTGCCTGAGAACATAGAGAAGAACTTTAGTAAACTTGGCACCACCGTGGTGCTCTGCATGGTCACATTTCTCTACGCCTGCATCAATATTTTCTGCTGGTCTGCCGTGCAGCTGGACCTGGCTGACCATGACCTGGTGGAGAAACAGCCTCGCTGGAGAAGCTTGGCCATCTACTACACCCTACGCTTCATGGAGAATGTGACCCTCATGATATTGTGGTACTACTTCAAGTCAGACTTCTATGAATACATATGCACCCCACTGCTGGTGGTGCAACTTATCGTGTGCTACGGCCTGGCTGTAATCTTCATGCTGATCTTCCATCAGTTCTGCCATCCGTGCCGCAGACTTTTTCACTACAACGTCGAGGACTGTCTACGTTGCTCTTGCTGCAGGAAGAAAAAGCAATCACAGCCACCTGAAAACCATGCACGTGGTCCTCAAGAACATGCACCTCCTGATCTCACGAACCACCTGACAGATCGAGAAACCGATATCGTGGATGATATCATGGAGGCAGCATGAAACGCATCTGTTATGTTAATGTAGCGCTGTTTGGGGCCATGCTAGGCATATTTGCACATATCCTGACTCAGGAGTATTACATTGAGACGATTGAACTATGCTATAGCTACTGTAATTAGTGAAGGAACAATTGATTTTATATGGTCCTAAAAGCTTCAGGAAATTAGTTTTTTATGCCATTTGGAGCTGTTCTTCAAAAAGAAGGTGTAGAGCATGATAACCTTATTATGTTGGTGTGGAGAGGGTAGCTCATCATTTATTAATTGTAGAGCACTGACCTATTTCTTTTTGTTGGCCACTGAAGACCAAAGAATGCCCTCGGTTGAGTTATGCTGTGATGACTGACAAAGGCAGCTTTCAGTAGAGAGCTGCGTGGCCAGGTGTGTGGGAATCGTGCCAATTTTGGAGGAATGAAACTGGTAAAGTATTGGCACCTGTTGCATTAACATTTTCCAGGGAACCGTGACTCAACAAGCGAAAGAGCCTTCTGAACTTTTCTTAAGTTTGCTTCAACAGTCCTGTGCATTTTTAAACCGTTAGATTTGGAGAACCTTCTTTAATTTTGAAAGTTGAACTTGCCTTAATATTGTGTGATTGTAATTTTGTGCCTGAATAGACTAATGTTCTAAATTTTTCACTGCAAAAAGACATCTGTTTGTTTATTCTGTATGGAAATATGTTTGCGTGTGTGATTTTTGCCTGAATTATGTGCCTCTTTACTACTGAGTTGAATAATGATAATGATATGTGAATAAAGACCCATTAAATATCTGAATTGTGCCTGATAATCATGATTCTGAACTAAAGCATGCCTTTACAAAAGTGTTCGGCTCTTAATATAAAGACTTTAAGGTGAACCACATGAAACCTATTCATTTCATCATATTTAAAATCAAAAGGAAGACATTAACCTTTTGAGACCCTGTGTCCTCATATGAGGACATTATATTTTAGTGAACATCTCTGAGACTATACATACAGTTTTAAGTCTAGATGTCCTGTACAGAGCATATTCAGGGCTTTTCAGATATACTAAGGGCCAGATTTACTGTCTTTTGGCGTTAAAATAGTCAGGATTTACTAAAGACCCGCAGTGAAAAATTAGCGCTGAAAAGGCGTGGACAGAGTTATTTTTGCGCCTGACCTTATTAGAATATGCGTTTGTAGGAGTTGACCTTTTTAGACGCAAAATTTATGGGAGGAGAGTATTAAAATGAATTATGCAACGCGATTTACTAACGTTTGCGTTTGTCAAATTACTGTTTTTTGCGCCATTATTTAACGCCCAAAAAAAGCATCTCTTAAAGGGGTCATATGATGCTGCTAAAAAGAACATTATTTTGTGTATTTGGTGTAATGAAATGTGTTTATGCGGTTTAAAGTTCAAAAAACACATTATTTTCCACGCGTGTTAGAAGAAAAAAAAGACTCCTTAATTTGACCTTCGTGCCCAAAAATGCATAGGAAATGAATGGGGAATATCAAAATTCAAAGCATTTTTTTTATTTGTCCAATAAAAATCTATAAATTCAACACAATGCAGATCAAACATACACAGAATTGAAGGTTTGAGCCTATACAACATTCTCAATGTGTCAAACACACACCCACAAACACCCACACCCACAAAAAAAGCCATTGAGTACTACAGCCAAATAGTGGCATTGAAATTATTGATATTTTTATACCATCATATGTCACCAGATGGCACCAAAGTCACCAAATTTGTAGGTTTTGGCTGTCTAAACTTACTGCAATGATATTTTTTACTGAAGTAAATGAAATATTAAATTTAAAAAAAAAAAATTTTTTTAAATAGTTTGCTTAATCTGAGTGGTTCAAGACTTTTCCTAATTTTCCTACGTTTGCCACCTGAACACAGACAAAAATAGAGGACTTGATTCAACAAAGTTAAGTGGTTGAAAAAAAAAACTCCTAAATTTCTCCCATAGGAAATGAATGGGAAATTCTAAAATTGAAAGCATTTTTTTTTTATTTGTCCAATAAATCCAACACAATGCAGATCAAACACACATAAATGAAGGGGTGAGCCTATACAATATTCTCAATGTGTCAAACAATCACACTCTCTCTCTCTCTCTCTCTCTCTCACACACACACACCCACAAAAAAAGCCATTGAAAACTACAGTACTGCTAACTAGTGGCTATTGATATTTTTTATATTTTTATACCACCATAAGCCACCAGATGTCACCAAAGTCACCAAATTTTTAGGTTTTGGCTGTCTGAACTTACCGGAATTATTATTATTTTATTTTTTTTACTGAAGTAAAATAAATATTAAATATAACATAAAAATACGCAGATTTTACATAAAAATATGGTACTTTTAGAGGTAAATAAATTCAAAAAACACCAAAAATCACAAAAAAATTACATAAATTGATAGATTTTATTTGATCGAAGATGTGTTACATGTTGTCAAAAACACATCAATATGCAAATTAGATACAGTTTACAGATACATTGTATATAATGGGAAAACCCTTTTATGGCCATTTTACACACATTTAGCATAAAGAAAAATGGTATATCAAATCATTCTGTTATAACATAGTTGAGAATCATCTTTATTCAAAGTTTGGTATAAAAAAAATCCTGAAACATCATTTATAACTGACTTTTTCCCATTAGGGTAAATTATTTTTGGCAAATTGTCTGAAACTTCACACACAATCAAATGCTTGTTCACTGTCTGAAAAGAAGTGAAAAGGTCTTACTGTTTCAAAAAACATTAAAAATATTTATGAACATTCTTTTTTTTTCTTCTTGTGCTTCTATATTTGATTTGGAACTCACGCATGAAAATGTCTAAAACTTGACACAAATTCGGATGCAATTTCACTGCCTGAAAACCATGTCTTAGTGATTCAAAAGCATTAAAACAACTTTAACATTGTGTTTCATCTTGGAATTATCTTAACACGAGTGAAAGTCAACAAGACTCTTCTTTTTCAGTGTACCCCACACAACCCACACGTAAGTAGATGCTGACTTGTGCAGTCATCATTATAGCATTGCTGCCTGTCAGTATAGTAATGCCAATAGACATTGGCATCTTTCCTGACCTCTGGTTATGGATCACATTTTTTAAACTGGCATACAATAATGTACCCAAATGCCTGACTTCCATAGCAACCTATTCTTCATCACTGCCCTCACCCTCATTGCTTCTATCCTCCTTGGTCCTCAACCACTTCTTTTATTACTACAACCTGTTTTTCTGATGCACTCCTATCACTATCATCAATACCTTCTGAAATAAGTACAGATTTGTCTCTCCATCTTCCAAAAATGAACCTAAAACACATGCATAAAGTTATATTGCCTGCCAATGCTGGTCAATAGTACCAGCTACACCAAATATGCATCCCATAATAGGACTTTGTCAGTTGTGCATGACGCTCAGATTTTTTGGTCTCTGAGTTATTGTTTTTATAAAAGTGCATTAAAATTGAAAAAACTTTAGAAAACACATTTTGATGCACAATTATATTTTTTTATAACTTGAATTTATTTGTATTTTCTAGTCTAAAATGAGCTCAATATGGAGCCTTGAGAGCATGTGACCTAACATGTGCTAATGCCTTCTTTACTACTTTGTTGCCAAACATGTGAAGCACATGGCTAATACGTTTTAATTTTACTGGTTGAAGGGGATGTCATTTGACATCACTAATATAACATTTTATTGGTTGAACATTAATATTGCATTTTACATGCAATTTTCTTGGCGTCATTTATAAATGACGATATCCCACAGAGGGCTATGCGTGTTCATTCATGTCTTTAAAAAAAAATGTAGACTTAAACATTAGACTTAGCATAACATATGAATGAAATCAAATTTTTCACTTTTTTTTAATGCTCTAAACAATGTAATGACATGAATGACCTAATCTTTTTCCGGGTCTCAGGAGGTTAAAACTGTAGCCTACATAATTTACATATCTAGAGTAAATATATATTTTTTTACAATACACATTGTAATACATTATTAAAATAGTCAAATATTTATACATAAGGGCCTTTCTTGCTGCTTTAAATATATATTTTTTAAAAACATTGTATTAAGAGGTTTTTATCATAATACATTGGCTATAGTAGCCTAATAAAAATAATCACTGAGTAATGAAAAGTATGTACAAGTAATTTGGAAGGAAAATGTGCTCAAACAAACAAAAAAAAACAAAAAAACGCTTCATTTACTATATTATTTATACGTACATGTGATACATAAAAATCATATTTTTCAATTATTTTATTTTTAAAAAATTATTTTTGCGTGTGCTTAATTGTCATTAAATTTAAATGAATGTCAAACAGCTTAATGGCTCAGTGGCTCAATTTGACTTAAACTGGGATAACTGGTTGACAATTTATATAACTGTCGAAACGGCCAAGCCCATGTCGTTCATGGAATAGTTTCCAGGCAAACATACAAAGACGCGCTTTTTTACGGCCTCATTAAACTCATCAAGGTAGCTTACTCTCGGGAATTTCTTCACACATGCAATATCAACAAAATCATATTTTCAGCCCATTTCCTGGTCGATGATGCCAGTAGAGGGCGGGTCACGAACAGGACAGGTGAGAAATATAGCGCTCATCTACGAGGAGTGTTCATTCATTTACGCAGCGCTAGAGAGAGATGATGGGCAACTGGATTATCAATCACGGGCTCAGCGCCTTCATCTTGGTAAGAGACATTATTTTGCTGACTATTTACGTTAATTCAAATTAGCTAATACAGTTCGCTATAAAACTTGAGTTAAAATAAGTCATATTTGTCCATTATATATATATTATTATATCTTATATTGATGTGTCTCTATTTGTAGGTGGTGTGGATGGGCATCAACATCTTTCTGTTTGTCTACTACTACTTATTCTATGATCAGGGACCACAATTTGAGTACACTCGTGAACTTTTAGGGGTAAGTTATGGAATAAAAAACATGTAAGCATTTTGCAAAGCATTGTCTAAGACAAAAGAGGACACTAAGGAAAGGAGATGTTTTATTTTATGACATCCAGAGTTAGTTTTCATGTAGTAAAAAGAGAGATAAGCAGAGTAAATGTAGTCAAAGTGAATGTAATACTGTTTCTTTCAGTCTGCATTACCTTGGGCCAGAGCTCCAGCTGCTGTACTTAACTTCAACTGCATGCTGATACTGTTGCCAGTGTGTCGAAACCTGCTGTCTCTGCTCCGCGGCTCCTTCATAGTGAGTTGCTGCACACTTGCACCTTTGTGTCTGAGAGAGTATATGTGAACCTTTGTATATATTTGCTCTCCTGTCCATGTTTCAGTGCTGTGGCCGAACAATGAGGAAACAGCTGGACAAAAATCTGACTTTCCACAAGTTGGTTGCTTACATGATTGCCCTTATGACAGGTAAACATGTTTTTGAAAAATTAACAGGAAGTTGTTGAGCATTTCAAAGTAGGTTAGGCTTACACCTGATGATACAGTACGTTTTACAGGAAAGGGCTCACATGTGCGATAGCTATTGTGGACATTCACACTTGCATGCCATGATGCAATAGGATACTTAAGCAAACTTACTCATTCGCTGTTTGAGCCGTAGGCGAAGAATGTTATCTCTGATAACCCTAGCATTGCAGTTACTGTTATTCTTCTTGGGCAAATCTGGATAAACATTGACCAAGTTTTGATTTTGTAAGAACCAGAAAGCATAATTCTAATAGAAAAAGCTCAAAAAGAATGGGTTAGAGCAAGAGTCTTCAACATGAAGGTACTTAAGGGCATCTGCATGAATATATAAATCATACAGAACTTAAATTGTCTGACTAATGATTTGCTAAACATTACTGGATTGACCCCAGAGTTATAGAATATATCTGCAAGTAAACAATAATTAGAATAGTTGTAAATTGTAAGTGTTCTTACATATTTTTTGTCAACGTGATAACTAATTTTGACCATATGAACCCTTTTTTTAATGCAGCGGTTCACACTGTCGCTCATTTGCTTAATGTGGAGTGGTACACAAACAGTTTCCAAGGTCGATATGGGCCTCTCGCTGGTAATCTGTCCATGCTTGATGACTCCCGTGAATTAAATACCACTTACCTAAATCCCATTCGCTCCAATTCTACAGTGAGTCACTGAACTTTTAATGTTTTTTTGTTTTCACATTTTCCTATCATTTTGATTTTATATACACTACCATTCCAAAGTTTGGGATCAGTGAGTGTTGTTACATTAAATTAATACTTTCATTCTGCAAAGTTTTATTAAATTGATCAAAAGAGACATTAATGTTACAAAAGATTTGTATTTCAGATAAATGCTGTTCTTTTGAACCTTCTATTCTTCAAAGAATCCTGTAAACAGTATTGTATTTCTACAAAAATATTAAGCAGTTAAAAGCATTTTCAACTGTAATAAATCAGCATATTAGAATGATTTCTGAAGGATTGTGACACTGAAGACTGGAGTAAATTCAGCTTTGCATCACAGGAATAAATTACTTTTTCTAATATATTAAAACAGAAAGCATTTTTATTGAAATATTTCACAGAATTTTTGATTAAACAAATGCTGCCTTGGCTAGCATAAAAAAATCTTGAATGGTAGTTTACAGTTGAGCTCCATACTGTATTGCTTATGTGGTATGTTATGCCTGCTATAATCTTGATTCCTTGTACTCCAGACTCCAACGCTTTTCGTATTCACCACTATTGCGGGTCTCACAGGAGTCGTCATAACTCTTGCCCTCATCCTCATGATCACTTCATCAATGGAAGTCATTCGCAGAAGCTATTTTGAGGTCTTTTGGTACACGCATCACCTTTTCATCATTTTCTTTGCTGGCTTAGTTTTCCATGGTGCAGGGTAAGATCTATTAACTGGGTGAGCCCAATTTAAAAAAACCGATTTGTAGTAGATTATTAAAAGTAATGAAAACATGCTTTTTGGTTTCTGTCCAGACGCATTGTGCGAAGTCAGCAAGTGACCGATCCACCTCACAATAATTCCTTCTGCGAAGATCAGCCAGAGAACTGGGGAAAAATTCCTGAATGTCCAATTCCACCGTTTGCAGGAGGGTTTCCTCAGGTAAAAGTTGTCACATTTACCATTACACAAGCCTATGATAGATTTATTTGAGTGCTTACTGATTTCAATTGGCTGAATCCTCTGTTGCAGACATGGATGTGGGTAATTGGACCAATGATAATTTATCTATGTGAGCGGCTGCTTCGTTTCATTCGCTACATGCAGCCTGTCAGTTATAGGAAGGTGAGTCTTCATGGACTATATTGTTCATCTGAACCCCAGTACAGTTGTTCTGTAATGACAAACTGTTTCCATTCTTGCATTTTAGATTGTAATCCGCCCATCCAAGGTGTTGGAACTACAGCTGGTGAAGCCTGGATTCAAGATGGAAGTGGGTCAGTATGTGTTCCTCAATTGTCCAGCCATCTCTCAGCTTGAGTGGCATCCATTTACCATGACATCAGCCCCGGAAGAGGACTTCTTTAGTGTACATATCCGCTCAGTCGGAGACTGGACTGAAAAGCTCATCAAGATGGTCGAAAACCTACCAGAGGGTGGTCAAGGGCCTATGTATGTACTTTTTGCCATTTTACTTATTCTCTAAAAATAAAGGTTCCAAAAGGAGGTTTTCAGAGTAGTTTAATAGAAGAACTACTGGGGTTTCCAAAGAACCTTTCAGTGAAATGCAGGTTCTTCATTGGCATTTATGGTTCCATAAAGAACCTTTAACATCTATGGAATCTTTCCATTCCACAAAAGGCTCTTTATTATTAAAATGTTCTTCACACCAAGAAAAAATATTCTTTTAAAAACGAATTGTTCACTTAAAAGTTCTTTGGGAACCCAAAATGTTTCTTTTATGGCATTGCTGCATTTTTTTCTTAGTATAAGGAACATTTTAATCTAATTAAATCACCTTTTCCACTATAAAGAGTCTTTTGTCCTATGGAAAGGTTTTGTGGAATTTAAAGGTTCATAGTGGAACCATAGATGCCAATAAATAACCTTTATTTTTTGAAGTGTAGGTCATTAAATATTCATGTGTTCTTCAAGCTGCAGTTCTTAATTTCAATTTATGGAAAATATATTTCAAAATATGGAAAATTACACACAGAAGCGATAATATATCATGAAAATATGTATCTTTTGCTTCAGGATGGCTGTGGATGGCCCTTTTGGAACTGCGAGTGAGGATGTATTTGATTATGAGGTCAGCATGTTGGTGGGTGCTGGAATTGGAGTGACCCCATTTGCCTCTATCCTGAAGTCCATCTGGTACAAGTTTAAAGACTCAGACCCCAAACTACGGACAAATAGGGTAAGATCATGTTGGACAAAAATAAGGAAGTTAGGTGCAAAGGTCAAGCACAATCACTTTTGTTGTAAAAACCAAAAACGGCCACTTTACTGTGATATTACAAAGGTTGCCTTCATGTCCTAGATAAAATCCAGGATTCCTTGGAACTCGGTTTCTTATTAATTTCTGACTTTTGTGTTTAGATTTACTTCTACTGGCTGTGTAGAGAGACATACGCCTTTGAGTGGTTTGCAGATCTCCTACAGGTCCTTGAGAAAGAAACGGAGGAACGAGGAATGAGGGACTTCCTCACATATAAACTCTACCTCACCGGATGGGACCAGAGTCATGTACGTGCAATAAGCCCACTGTGATCTGAAAAGCAGGTTGACCTAATCTGAAATATGAGTAATGCATTAATCACAGAACATCTAATCTTGCATTTACAGGTAAACCATGCAATGGTGCATTTCGATAAAGATACCGATATCATCACCGGTCTAAAACAAAAGACTCATTATGGCCGACCGAACTGGGATAAAGAATTTGAACAAGTTAGGCAAGAGAACCCGTCGTAAGTTTCAAAAACTTTTCATGTTATCGATTCCCACATTTGACACTCAAAATTTGCCCAACACTAAACTTTAAATATCCACAGGTCTGTGGTTGGAACTTTCTTGTGTGGCCCACAAGCCTTAGCGAAGGACTTGGAGAAGAAATGTGTGAAATACTCTGACGTGGATCCACGGAAAACCAAGTTTTACTTCAACAAAGAGAACTTCTGAGGAAATTTTTCACAGGAAACCTAATTCTCTTAAAAGATCTGTGCACTAGGGATTGTGCACTTCAGCAGTATAATGATTTGCCATTTCTCAAATCGTTCCATCTAAATGATTCTGCATTACTTGTGACAATGAGAAAAATGACACCCTTCTTCCTGGAAAGTGAACAAATTGATGAAAGGGACCAATTCCGTGTCTGCGTCAAAAGTCCGCTCATTGTATTTTTTTTTGGCTTTCCAAGTTCCTGGTTAGAAATGAATCACCAAGAATCAAGGAAATCAGACATACACCAGAATGTATTGTGTTTTTATAAGTGCCTCCTTATGTAAATAAGTGCACAGCTCTAAAATTAGCATGGCAAGAAGTTTCACCTCCTTGTAAAAGGTGAAAAAGGAAAAGATCTTTAAAACACATTATCTGATCTAACATGTCACATATGGTTAGTCACTGGTTTTGTAACCTTTAAACAATCAAACCAACTTTAGATATAAATTGTTAATACTGTACATTATATATCATGACTTTTCTAAACTGTATTTATAAATAAATTATGAAGGCAGGAATTAATTTCTGCATTGAAAAAATTTCCAGTTGTTTATTTCAAAACCCAGTTGTTTATTTTTTTCATGAGCAGTAAATTGTGAACTTCTACTATTCGTATAAAACTGATCTCACTTGAAATAAGAAAATACCACTATAAAACAAAAACAACAACAACAAAGTTAAAGATGTGGATGTTCTGCAGACCAATACAAAAGCAGCCAGGGGATAGTTGTCTGATCGGATGTGCATGTTCCTGCAATAAAGTTGTAGAGTCAGATTTTCAGACTTGCACTAACCCAAATTAATCCCGGTTACTTAAGAAATCCCATGTTCCGCTTTGTCACAGAGCCTGTAATTATCATAATAGACTGTTTTAGGATGGATGCAAAAGAAAGAAAAGAACTCACGTCACATGTTAAGTCTTCAGGGTGCGCCTGCTGTCTTCTGAATCTGCTCCTTCAGTATCAGGATACTCTGTCTCTGTTCTGGTGGCAGCATGGCGATCTGTTCTGGGGTCAGCTGCAGAACCTGCATAATCAAGGCAGCCTGGGAATGTGGAAACACAGCATATAGATTATTATCTATGAGACAGAAGCAATGTTGCATCATGAAAGATTCAAAGTGAAGCTCGATAACTCTGTCAACATTTATATCAACATGTCAACAAGTTAACTAGTAATTCTGGAAAATCTGGTCACTGAAACACAGAATGCAGCGATGCAGATCTGAAATGTCCTTTAACAATATATATAGTTACAATAACTTTTTAGCAAACTTTTAGAGATGTAATGTAATGATAAATAGCGGTCATTGGAAGTTTTAGTTTCAGTGAAAACATAAGGATGACCCTGTCATCCAAAAGTGTGTAGGGAAAAAAAGACACTCACTTTCTCGTGGTCTTGTGATGACGCATCTGATGTAGGACCCTGTTAAAAGACAAATGGGATTAAAAGATGCAGACATTTAAATTAGATACTGCAAGCTACATAGTGTTCTCTGACATAGGGCTGTTTAAACGTGGCTGCAAGAGGGGGTCCGTGGAAAATTGAGAGAGAAAAAAAAAGAATGACATTTGTTTTTACTGAAATATGAACAAATATGCATATAGTTTGGGAAAAAAGTTGTATTTATTACTCGTTCTTTTCAGACGAAACTGTTCAAAAGTATACTTTTATTCAGCAGACAAAATAAATTGATCGAAAGTAACAAAGACATTGACACAGTTACAAAAGAAATGATCAAAATAATTAAAATACATTAATAAAAATGAATCAAAGAATTCTAAAATTTTTTTAGAAATTTTAAGCAGCACAACTTTTTCCCCTAATAATGATTGTAATAAATGCTTCTTGAGCAGCAAATCAGCTTATTAGTGGCAGCTAAAAGTTGTATTTCTTTTCTTTTTCTTAAATCGCCAAAGTCTTTATCTTTATCATTTGTAAAACATTTTCTGTAAAGCTGCTTCAGAACAATATGTCAAAAGTCCCATACAAATAAATCTGAATTGAATAGAAAATGTTCTCTAATATTATAATAGTGCACTAAAGACAAAATAAATAAAAAAGCTAATAATTTAAAATCGCCAAACTTGCTTTCAAATTTAGTATTTTTCAAACATAGGTTCTGTTGACTTGAAAATAGATAGTTGCCTTTATATTTATATTTCAGAAACGGGTTCCCTTTACAATGGGATGATCAGATTTGGGGGTTATTAAAAGGTTTGAAAAGCCAAAAAGGCAAAATGACAGGAGTCTGGAAATCTTACTGGTCTCGCTGCTGGAGGTGCACTTTGTCCCATGCCGTGTGGGGGAGGACCCTGCATTCCACCAGCCACAGGCACCCTCTGGCCAGATATCGGACCCCGAGCATCAACAGCTCTTGGATCACGACCTTGAGGAAGAATTTTTTAAAAATCTTATCCGTAAAAGAATCCTTCAAACAGAGTGTTACTTCAGAAAGGAGTAAAACCAGTATTGGACCCTTTTCACAATTCCGGGTTTCTCAGATGTCATTGTAGTTGCGTAAACTTCTATTGCGGTGAATTGGAGGCTACTTTTTGAAAAATGAAAATAGAAAAAAAAAAAAAAAGTGTTGCAGGACTTGATTCAATTGACACTGAAACGCATCATCACAGCCTGTGAAAAGGGCCCATACAAAAAT